CAGAGTCACCGTAAGACCTCCTGGACAATCTGCCGGTGTTTCCGGAGGTCGGAATGGGCGATCAGGATGTCGTCAAGGTAGATCATGACATCTCCGGAGAGGATGAGGTCCTGGAAAATGTCATTCATCATCGTTTGGAACGTCAGGGAGAGTTTGTCAGGCCGAAATACATCACCAAGGGCTCGAACAGGCCTCGGTTAGTCCGGAAAGCCGCTTTCCACTCGTCACCTTCCTTGATCCGGACGTTGTTGAAGCCCCAACGGACGTCGAGTTTGGTGAAGTAACGAGCGCCTTTGAGCCGGTTGATGAGGTCATTGATCAGCGGAAGGGGGTACCGGTTTTTGACAGTCATCGCGTTGAGAGCACGGTAGTCCTGGACGAAGCGGAGTCCGCCGTCCTTCTTCTTGACGAAGAAGACCGGAGACGCCATCGGAGACTTGGAGGGGCGAATCCGGCCCGTCGAAAGCCCTTCCTCGATGAACGCGTCGAGCTCGCGTTGCTCGAGGGGCGAGATGGGGTACACCTTGCAGTTGGTGGGCTTAGCGTCGGGGACAAGCTCAATGGCGTGATCCCAGGCTCTCCGCTCCGGTAGCGTGTCGAAGGACTCCTTGTTGAAGACGTCCTGGAACTCCTTAGCCCAGTCCGGGATCTCGGAGGGCGGTGGGGCGGTATCTCCTCTGAGGGACGGAACGAGGTGTAGAAGATGCGGTCACCATCTTCGAGCTGGTCATCTTCGTCATCCGAGTCCGAGTCCGGCGTCAGATCAGGCAGGTCGGAATCGAGACCGGAATCGGAATCATCTCCGTCCTCAGGGCCAGAGAGGTCCATAGTGCAAACCGAGGGGAACGGGCCGGAGCGGAGACGCTTCTGAAGCGACCGGAGTCGCCGCAGCTCGGTCCGTTCGACGCGCTCTTCCTCACGGCAGGTCGAGCAATTGCGGGGGCACCGTGTCATCTTGACCTCCTTGGTTTCCCAATTGATCTCTGGGTTATGTTTCCGCAACCAGGAATACCCCAGGATGAGGTCTTGCTTGCCAAGATGGGTGATGGCCAGTTGAACTCGTTCGGCATGGCCCTTGTAGCGCAGGACCAAGTCCGCGATCTGTTTGATGGAGCCAGCGTCATTGGGGGTGCCATCGACATTGAAAACCGGAATCGGCTGATCGAGGGTGCGGACCGGAATGCCATTCCGAGCAACATAGTTCTTAGGGTTGAGCACGGGTCAGGGTCAACCCGCAGGGGTTTCAGGGTAGGGTCTGTCAGGGTCAGGGTCAGGGTACACCAATTTCTGAACCCGGCCAAACCCGGACCCTTTCAGGGTCAACCCGGAGGGTCCAATAAGCTGTTGTGATTTAACAATTCCCTATCTAAACATGATTTTTGTGAGTTTTTAAGAGACACAAAAAATTACATGTCACTTAAGTCACTCATGTGACATGTGACATATAAGTAAACTGTATTAACTATGCTTAAAATCTTGAGGAATAGGCTACATATGCCATATCTGAGCCAATATCATATAGTAAAATGTATGTTATGTTGAAATTATTGTCCCAAATACATCTTCTGCTTGCATGTCTATAACCCGTGGGTCAACCCGGACCCGGTTGGACCCGTACCCGAAAGGGTCAGGGTTAGTCAGGGTCAGGGTCAGGGTCAGCCTTCTGAGACCCGGACCCGGACCCGTGCTCAACCCTAACAATTCCAGCAACCCAATGTAGTAGTAGTTCTTCCAATACAAATGTCGGTATTCGTGTTCGCGTGCGTATTCGGGGGTTCCAGTCAAAGTATATGACTGTGGCAACCCAGGGGATATTCGATAGGGATGTGTTTAAATGGTTGTTTAACGTTAAAGACTTGTCCGCACAGCAGCAAGGGTCGTGGGAACGAGTAGGTACATGTATATAATTGTCGCAATAGAGTCTCGGTCCGACGGTGATAGCGCTCCGTTGATTGGCAGACGGCGTCTATCAGTGATCGTATTCAAATGCCCGCGGGCCGTGTTCCGTTCCGTTCCGTTTCCGTTTCGTTAAGTCCTTACCCTTTGGTAATCAGACTGGAGTGCAATCCCTCTAAGATTCACTGTCCATCTAGGTACATGGAGCGCCTAATTTATAGCTTTTCCCCCCGTCACTTGTCACGGTGCTGCGGTCACTCCGCAGCGCCCTCGTCGCTACCACTGCCCCACGTCGCTGGCGACGTTGCCCCGTCTCCCTGCCAGCTTACCTGAGGCTTAGTTAGCCGCTGAGTAAGGCTTAGCAAGCCTTACTCATCGCGCTGGCTTGCCTTTTGCCCTCGTGCTGCGCCCTGCTGCGCTTGACTCGTCGCCGACCACCACCCGCCGTGGCGCCCGCCGCGTCACCTGCGACGCCGCCCAAGCCTTCTGTGCCCGACAGCGGCAGCTACGGACAAGCAGTATATAGTCAGCTCCCTAGCAGGTGGACCCTTAGAGTTTCTTCTCTTTGGATCCTCCCCTGCTAGACCTTGATCTCAGGCCTCCGGGGTTGCCCTTACAGTCAATCTCTATAAAGTCACCCCTGGATGCAGATTTTTCAGTCTTTTCAGAGCCTTTCATGGCAGCTGAGATCATAGCAGCCACAATAGATGGACCAACTCCAAGCCTTGTGCCCAGACTCTGAGTCCAATCTCCAACTTGTCTAATATGGACAGAGACATATGGATCCTTTGGAGCAGATGTGATAGTGAACTAGTTGTGAATGAGATAAGTATAGCACAAGAGCATTACAATTTAGCATACTGGATGCCATTGGAAATGAGAAATTTCAGGAATTTGAATGAAAAGCCATTGCCCAGCTGTATACTTGAAACTGGGCTTCACAATCCGAAGTTCCATAGCACCTATAGTTGATACACAATAATCAATATCCAATTGTGTATATGTCTCATCCTTACCACTTGGATGCACAAGCACTTTGGATAAACGGGTTGACCTTCGGGCTCGGAATTCTCGAAAGGCACGTTCACCAAAGTATAAAACCCCTGGCCATATAGTAAAGCGCCAGCTAAGATAGCCAAGACCTATAATGCTGCATAAGGGAAAGCCATAAACAGGACATCACTTGCAATGTTCTTGATAATACACATCAGCCAAAACTTGGTTAAATAATCAAGACTCATACTAGTGGAATAAAAGGGAAACATCTAGTTTAACAGTTAGTTCAGGATATCTTACAACCATTGAAAGCATACAGGAATATAATCAGGATCTGGGATATCCCTGACAAAGCATCCAGTTGCATGTGCTATGTGTAAGATGAATCAGTATGAAAATAGTCTAAACTAAAGACCACAAACTGTAAAGGCCTAGTCCAATTTCAGAAAATGTTTGTCAGGGAAGTAAACCATACCTATCATGAAAAAGAAAGCCAGATGGTGTGTATACCTTTCGATAAGTAAGATAAATGTTTTGAAAATATTGAAGCAGTGAACTTGAATTGGCAAAAGACTAACCAAAAAGCCTCAAAGCATTGGTTGCGAACTCTATTTTGAGCCGTTGTATACATGAGGAGCATGATTAGCATCATGAAATGACCCGTAATCCCGCCCGGTTGTGTGTAGTGGATCTCGAGCGCAAGCTGCTTTCGGACTTGCGTTAGCTCGACGTTGATAAACTAGAACCACGTGAGGTTCCAGCAATATTCTGAAATGATTACCCGACATTGACGTAGTGAGCAGTGCAGTGGACAGCTGTCCAAAAGGCCATCGAGTACGCGACTTGGACGATGAAACCAAATGTTCTCGTCGGCGGGGAACAGCCATGTTAACTTGGGACGCACGACCTTGATGATGTTACGCAGCATGGGAATCAAAATTAGTCCGCCGTCGAAGGCAAGAACCAGACCAGCCCCACGAGACGTCTATACAGAGAACTTAAGGGCATTGAGGGCGGCGAGTTTCGCGTTCGTTTGCTGTCGATTGTATGAGCCGCGGCGACTCCGAGCGAGACATCATGATCAGGGAAGTGCAAAGTGCTCATGCCTGAGAATGCCACCCGTATGCAAAGAAGAAAAAGTGGAGGCCGTAGAAAATTACGTTGAAAACAAGTCTTCGGCTGCTGAAGAATTCTCGTTTGAACCAACTAGTATGGCCCATGCTGTATCGAATAGTTTATGGTGCAGATGCAAGTTGTTTGGGCCAGCCACTGGCAGACGAGCAGCTTGAAGGAGTGGAAGGGGAAATATGAGGAGATGCTTGACGACGACGAGTGTAGACTATTTCTAAGCCTTTGCAGCCTAATGGCAGTGAGTTCAATCTACCTCGAGTCGTACGATTCGCGACCGTCGACATTCAGCGCTGGATCTTGACACCAAATTACTAGTAGCAACAATGTTTCCTGCCAGTCAGATCGGAACTTGAAGCTCACCGCCCCGCATTTCTGAACGTCTATCTTGAGTGTGATTTCCATTGGACGATAGATAGGCTGCCATGCAAGGACTCGGAAACCCGCAAGACTCGTAGTAGCAGTGTTGAAGTGACCTAAATCCCAATTTTCCAAGAGGTACTGGTCCCATCGAACAAAATTTGTAAGCTGTTCAACCTGCCATGCACTCCGGAGTTTACCGTGATTTTGCCTCCCAAAAGTTGATTCAAAAAGGACTAATTTTTGTGCAAAAAATATTTTTACACAAAACAAATAGTTTCCGCAAAGGGAAATTTTGATACAAACTGGTTAAAGTGGTTTCCCTTTGCAGAAACCATTTGTTTCCTGTAAAAATGATTTTTGTGCAAAAAGTAGTACTTTTTGTATCAACTTTTAGGAGGAAAAATCACACTAAACTCCGGAGTGATGGAGGTCAGAAACAAGTGACGGGAAGAAGGCTTGTCACCTGAGCGCGCGACGGCTGTCAATGATTGAGCTGCAAATACATGAATGAAGAAAGCAAAGGCGACTAGAATCTAACTCGGACCGCGTTACATTAGTACCTAAATTGACCTATATTTACAACATATGAGCGTTCATCAACCCCTTCGCAACACCTCCTAAAATACCTCCACAAAATTGCTTGGGAAGATGTGTTTACCGTACGATCTCCTCGACTCATCCAACAACTCGCCACTCCACCATCCGTCCTCAGGTGTGCTCGTGACAGCGATAATATCACCCTCCTGGAAATCAAATTCCTCCTCGATAGTCGCCGTGTACGGGAACAACGCTTTCACTAGTAATAAGCTTGTCAGGCGGGAAAGCGGAAAGAGCGAAAAACACGCACCATAAAACAAGATCGCCTTGCCATCAGAAGTATGTTGCTGCGACCCAGGCGACGGTGACGGTGAGCGCCGTTGCTGCTGGAAATGGGAGGGATGTTGCAGTTGTTGCTGCCCTTGATGCTGAGGCACGCGGACTAACTGCTGTGACGTTTGTTGCGCTCGAGGGATCTGTTGCTGTTGTTGAGGCTGGATCGTCGACTGCCAACCGTTGGGGCCTGTTGACATCGTCCGTTGAGGAGATGCGTGATGTCCGTTTAGCGAACCACTTCCATAAGGTTGTTGATGCTGATACGGCGCTTGCTGTTGCTGCTGTTGTGCATGATGATAAGATTGAGGTGAGTAACTCGACTGGGGCGGGGCATGTTGTTGCGACTGGTATCCCGTATGTTGATATGGAACAGCGCCAGTTTGTAATGGTGGAGGGGGTGGAACAGCCACGCCACCTGGGCCCATATAGCTTAACCTTCTCTGAGGTTGTTGTTGTTGTTGTTGGGCTTGGGCGGGATTATAGGGAACAATCTGTGACTGTTGCGGGGGCATTGATTGTCGATGTTGCTGGGGAGGAGGTTGGTAGCGCTGTGCCATCTCGTCATGCATAACCCTTCCACTTGAATCCAGCGCAATACCGACATTGTTAGGACTCGGTGATCGGTTGATTAGTTGGCTTGGTGGAGGAGGTGCTATAAAGCCTTGGCTTTGGCTTTGTCGTGGGTTGTGTTGCATATTTGAAGACGGTCCAGGACTATGGCCTCTATTCATTCCCATCGGTGATGGACTGGGTCCCCTTGTCATCGCAAAACCTTGACTTTGCGGACTAGGGCCACGACTTGGTGGTCTCGCAAGCACCATTTGCCCTTGCCCCGGAGCAGGACTCGGTCCCCGTGACATTGACATTTGCGGTACAGGACTTGTGCTGCGGGAATGTGCGCCAACCCCAGCGAAGCCCTGACTAGGCGGTCGTGACAACGCAGCGCCATGTTGTTGTTGCTGGTTAATCGAGCTCTGGCTGGGGTTATACGAATGGGATATCGAGTTTGGCTGGTCGCCAACATAACTTCCCCTCCGACTGACCATCTTCCGCTCACCCGGTAAGCTTTGCTGATAGTCCGTCAACACGTCTGCAACCATATCCGCACCCGGCGGAGGACCAGAAGCAGGTCGCATGAAAGCAACAGTAATTTGTTGCTGTTGTTGTGGCGCAGCTGGAGACGACGGCCGTGAAGCAAATGGGTGGCTACCCACAACCATCTCGGCCGAATGCCGGTAATCGCGATTTGGAGAAGGCGAAGGTGAACGCCGCGGTTGCTGTTGCTGCGGTTGTCGATATTGACTCTGGCTTTGATTGCTGCCAACAGCTACAATGGCTCCTGGCGCAACCGAGGACGGTCGAGTGTTTGACTGCGGTTGCCCATTCGACGAGGTATCAATTGCCCCTCGTCTTGTGCTCTTCCTCCGCACGGTCGTCGCAGCCATCTGCAAATCTTCCATTTGTTTTGCGAATGGATCGACTGTCCCGGAACTTGGTGGAGAGGAAGACATTTTGCTACTGCTTGGACCGGCTCTGGGGTCTTTGGACAAATCGACTTTGTATGATGTGTCTCCGACCTTGATGAATGTCTCTGCCGTCGCTTCAATTGGCGCTGTTTCGGGTGGAGGAACACGATGAGATGATGGCTTTGAAGTAGCGCTCGTGCTTGTGGGACGCCTAGAGAGATCCAGAGCCATTGATGTTGGTCTTCTCGACAAACTCGAAGGCTCAGGCAATGCTACCGTCGAACTTGAGGGCATTGGCGAAAAACTACCCATGGCTTGTTGTGGCTGAGGTTGTTGTGGTATAATCTTCTGGGTATTTTGCCTCGAGATACCGTTCATAGCACTCGCATCATCGCCTCTCCGAACTGTACCAAGGCCAGCAGAGTTAGGGCCGTTGACTGGGTCATCAACTTCTGGCTCGGGTTCGGGTTGTGGAGGGGCTCGCCGATTTGGCGGCGGGCGTTGGGAGGACCGCGCGAAATTGGCTACCCGCCAGGTTGGTCGCATCGAAGAAGAAGGAATAGAGTTAGGGTCTTTGTAGTCGACAAATGGAGGAGGGTCGGGAATGTAATTGCCTGTACCATATGAACGAACAAAGTTTTCTTGGTCGCGCTCTGGCTCCATTTGCTCTAGTGCCAGCCGCATCTTTTCGCAAGACTGCAATTGTTGATTGAGTTAAAACTAAAAGAAAGAGGCAAGTTTCCACGCACCTCATCGTCCGAAACACAAACAGTTGACACCGCGTTTGCGTAGGCCCACATGTTATCTTTCATAAACTCGATTCGGTCGTCCTCGAGGTCTTGACAACTGTCGCAAAACACCCTCCAGTCCATTTCCCACTTCGCAGTTGTCTCCACCAAAACCCTTGAAAAGTTGGCGAAATCGCGTTCATTTTGGTGGACCGTCTTCTTCGTGTTGTCAAGCTTGATGTGGATCTTCTCCGCATCTCTCCCTTGGACCAGCCCAAGCTGAGCAGTGTACGAATTAATCTTCATACAGTCCGTCTCGTACTTCTCCCGTGCTTTAGCGACATAACCCTCTTGCAACTGTTTCGCTTTGAACTCTTTCTCGATGCCGCTCTGGTAAGTCTTTTTGTGGTGCTGTTGTTTCGCATAGAAGGCGCTTGTCTGACCCTCTAAGTCTGACCGCACTTGTTGGGCAAGAGTTAGATGAAATTGAGCTTGGCGTTCGGTTTCGCCGCGGATAGCATCGAGTGAAGCGCGGAGATCGCTAGAGTTGACGAATTAATGGCTCCGCTAGACGGGTCATGCATTGTGCCACTCACCCGATCTCATCTCTTCCCAAGGCTTGCTTCGAAAGTCGAGCCATGCGTCGAGCATAGTCTTCCTCAATAGAGGCCCTAAGTTTCATTGTCAATCATGAGCGGATCTTGAAAGACATGAGAGATACCTCTCCTTCCAAAAGTTCCTCAACTCGTCCATGCTTCGAGCTGCCCCACGCATTCTAGCAAACAGAACCTCGACTCCTCCATCAGCAATACCCCAGAAAGCATTACAGAAGTCTGCGGAGCGGTCACGAGGGACAGGGTCGTTTCGAGCGTACTTTGAGAGTGAGGTTGTAGATGCCTGGCGTCTTGCAGACATAGAAGTGGGGGGAGAACAAGAAAGACAAGACGACGGTGGTGGTCAACCAAGTCTAAGCGGGGATAGCACGTGAATTGACGTAATTATGCTGTGTCAGCTATCAAAATTCGGCAACTGGCTTGCGGAGTCCTTCGGCATATCGCATCTTGCTCTCGACGACCACGATGCAACTAGCTTCACATGGGGCCAGGGCAGCAGCCCGCCAGGCCCCATCAGGGGCTCGTGGACTACATGTACCACCCGCTTTCAGGCTTCCTAGAACAACTCTCAGTCAAAGACTATTGACACAAACCCGCACTCTCCTCTCCCGCTTTGTGGGGCACCTCACAGCTCCTGGAATTGGTACAAACACCGCTTCTGTCGCTCGATCGTTTCATGCGGCCAACCCTTCTATTCACCAACGATTGTCTTTTGGGGCGCGTCATGCCCTGTCAAGACCTTTGCAGCCGACATTCCTCCCAAGAGCACCAGTTGTCCAGAGGACGGTCGCTCAAGTTGGATTGGGTACCGCAAGGAAGTTTTCAACTGGCCAGCCCATCTTCCAACATCTCGCCGAAAATGTGCCCGTTGTTGGTCGTGCTTTCTACGAGGCAGATTGGGACCTCAAAATGCGCCAGGAGATGAACGCAATGCGTCTTCCATCGAAGAAATCGTCTACAAAGAAGACCAATGAGATGGCAAAGCCACTTTCCAAGCCCAAGACGATCATTGCGGATAAACAGGACGAGATGGAGATTTACTTTGCTACTCCCGTTATTCCTGCAATTACGACTTACCTTCTTGTCCCACTCGCCCCTACCCCGACTTCTCGTGCGCCGCTCCCCGAGTTCCCCGCTGGTCGTCTTCCTCTTCGATCCCTGCTCGATATCCACGACTCGCATGAAACCCACTCTCTTCGTGTCTCTTCGCTGTTCCACCGTCTGGATATAGCAGATGTTTGGACTCGTGGGGCGGTGTGTTCTGCTTACTCATCGAGCTCTGGACCAGACGGAGTGTGCACTGTTCTCAAAATCGAGTTCGTGGGGTGGAGCAAGGCTGCGGTTCGTGGTGTTATTGGAGAGAGCGGGACGGGTTGGTGTATTCTTGAGGAGCATATTGGACAACTTCCCGTTGACGACGACGAAGAACTTTCCGAAACATCGTCCATTCTTTCTATTGACGTATATTCCGAGTCGCCTGTCTCGCTAGTCTCCCCGCCCCCCGAGCCAGTTTCCGACCCAACACACTCCCTGGTATTGCCCACCTTGGACTTTTCTTCCTCCTTCCGAGGGTCTTGGTTGGCTTCGTCTGCTATCGCCACTCCCGAGTTTGAATACTCTCATTCTAACAACTCGTCCGAGTGGTCTGACGTCAGCCCTGTCTCGGAGACGGAATGGTTCAGCAACAACGATAACAATCCATGGCTCTCATCCGAGAACTTGAGTGATGGCTCCGATTCATCGAGTTCTAGTTGGCTGGGATTCAGTGCTGACTTTGGAAGACGCCAGGCTGAAGTGCGAGGTGTACCAGAGCCAATGGAAAGCGCGTTTGCTTAACGCAAGAGTTACGTATTCTCCGACTGTTTCTACTGCATCCGCCTTTCCTATGAAGGCTTACACGCTCCTTGTATTATTTTTTTTCCTCGTTCATGACGTATACGATGTCTTTTTGTCCTATTTCTGTGCTTTATATCATTTGCTCAAAACGGAGTAATTCACAAACAGAACACAGTTCGTTTGTGTCGAGGGTAAGCACTACTTGGTCACTTGGTAACACGTGCTCTTCTTTTTTTTTTTTTTTTTTTTGTATCTGCATTTATATACCGCTACAAGCACACTAACTGCTAAGACGCGGTGGCCAACAGATCAAATCTACTGGCCGCTCGACATGAATGGCTGATGTAAATATTTTCGAAGCAAGGTAAGGTATAGCAAAGGGCGGGGAAGGTTCGGGCAAATGTATCTAAACTGGGTTCCAGTTTATAGTCAAAGCAGGGGTGGTTGTCCATTTGAAGCAGGGTGGCAAGTGTGTACGTATGAATGGGCTGGGCCACTACTTACTTGCTTTTCCGTCTGGTCCTTGGTCTGTAAGTGGACACTCGGCAGTGCGACCCAAAAAGGAAGAGACCGTCCCGCATACACTCACGTGCTCTTCTTGCTTCCTACTTTCATGGCCAACGCAGATGGCAGCTCTGCTCCCATTCATGATGCACCCGAACCTTTCAGCCCTACCTCGTTCGACGGAAATCCCGCTGATCTAATCATCGAATCCTCTGACCAAGTCCGTTTCTGGGTGCACTGGGCAATTCTGATGTTTGTCTCTAGTACATTCAGAGACATGAAAACGATGCCACAGCCTCTGTCAGGGAGCGACGACGTGAACCCTACACACGAGGGAAGACCCATTATCTGTCTGTCAGAGCCTGCTGTTGTGCTGCAAAAGTTTCTGCTGCTGTGCTACCCGCGCCTGTCAGCGACGAGGCTCGGGCTCGAAATAGTCGATCTTGACGGAATAAACGGGGCCTACGAGGCAATGGAGAAATACGATGTGACGGGCGGCACGGCTGAAATTGAAAAACTGCTGGCTGCACCGCGTTTCGTTGACAATGAGCCACACCGAGTGTTTGCCATTGCCTGCCGTCATGGTCTGGAGTCTCTCGCCAAGAAAGCCGCAAAAGCGACCCTTAATACACCACTTTTCTCGATGTACTGGCCTACTGGTGGTCCGCCACCGGAGTACGATGTTCTCCCCGCCATTTTCCTATGGAGGCTTGGCATCTTCCACCAGAGCTGTTGCGACGCAGTATGCACTCTGCTCCGCGAATCGTGTGACACGGGAGACTTGGCCGAAGTTGAACGTATGAATGGACATAGCAACCCATATGCGCCAACCCTCGGATATACTGCAGTGTGGTGGACTCTGGATCGTGAAGCTCTTGGTACACATCATGCGGAAGGGTGTGGGCCAGTAGTGAGCACAACTGGCACCGTTCAGCCTTCCCTGTGGTTCCAGGCACACGTCAAGGAGTGTTTCGAACACTTCCACAACTCTGCGGATGTCCGCGTCATTGCACCAACACTTGCCATACTCTCTCCACCCCAGGAAAACCAGATCGACGGATGTGGTATCTGCCTCAAAAACGCCAGAACTGATTTGGGTCTCTGGGGAGAAGAAATACAAGTTTTTGCCTCCCAGCAAATCCAAGACGTATGCATCACCCATCTTTATCACTGTTGCTAAACTTGAAGTAGATATTAGCATCAACCAAGTTTTGTTGAACTCTCCGCGAAAGAACACTAGCTTTAGGAGTGTGCATTTGTCCTTATCACAGCCGATTGGTGGACTGGTATTAATATTGTGGAATTTGAGTTAACTTGAAATATTGCACTGATTGATCTGCTCGATATCTAGCTATATCATTCCTTCATAAAACATTGACAGTGGCTCAAAGTCAATTCCATCCAGCACAGTCGTGCGTATTGCACCCTCGACATCCTTCAAGGACATATGGGTCCTCTCGCCCTCCGGTTCCAGCTGAACCCCAATGACAACACGGTAAAGTGTTGGGCAAGCTTTCACAGTTTCCTCGCATATACGACTTATACCAGTTAGATCTCCGACGGGGACCTTCATAACCCGGCCTTCAAAATGACTTGTGCTTCGAGCAATAAGCGTGAAGGTTTCAAGTTGTTTGAAACGGAGGATAGTCCCAGCGGGGGAGTCGTCCACCGCGCATCCTTTTCTCTTCATCTCGACGAGAGCCAGATGCACCAGATTGGGCAGAAGGTAGGCCACTGTTCGGAGGAGAGTCGCCGGATCTTCTCCCGCCTCAGGGAAGATCATGTTCAGGGTCGTCAGGGTTCGCGCATAGTTCATAATCGAAAGATGCCACCCAACGGTTGTTTCTATTCGCTCTAACGGGCGACTCATGGCCAGCATGGGCATCGAGGTGACTTTGACAGCAATGAGATGGCGAAGTACGGATTTGGGCCCTGTCCCGCTGTGTTCGACCAGGAGGGAGATAAAGTCATGGTCTATGGGCTGGTCTGTCATGTGGATGAGTCGTAGCTGGCGATGTTGGATCGCGATCCGGGCCATGGCACTGGCAGGTGTTTTTAAACAGGAAGAGGTGAAGACTGCGAGCCGAAAAGGACATTGCATGTGCGAGAGCGCATCGATCAGCCAATGCAAGTGTTGTGATTCCAGTGACGAGGCACGAGGGTCCGGCGATATGTTCAGCCAGGTAAGACTAACGCAGCATCTGAAAGCGTTAAGCATCTTGTTGGCTTCCTCGGGGTAGACGTCTCCGGCAGCCAGCGACGGAAAGCTGAGGCGACAGACTCTACGAGCGAGGTCTGAGTGGCGTCGGACGACGAGACACCAGTATAAAATGACGCTTTTTGAGCAGCCAACGAGATTCACGTTTGTGAACAATTTGCGTTGAGCATGGAGTCTGAGTGCATGGGAGGTCGCGGAAAGGTTGTAGAGCGAGCTCTGGCTGGTGGTCTGCTCGCATATAAGGAGGAGAATCTCGACAGGAAGATGTAGAGACATTTATGATTTGTGGTGGTGGTGAGTGGCAAAAAGAGACTGTCAAAGAGACCGTGACCGTGACTGATCGTGTCGTATCCGCTCGCCCCTATCCGAAATTTCAATTCCCGAGCTCACGTACCTAAGCCTACAAGTCTGGGCGACTCTGGGGGCTTCGCATTGTGTGCTAATATACTCATCTATTCGAGTTGACAAAAACTAGTCCCAAAAAAATTAAGTTGAAATTAAGTTCAACCGTTCACGGCGTCAAACTTTGCCAAAAGTGCCGTGTCGCAACTTGTAAGAGCTGATTAGCTGGTATATGACCGCTATTGACCTTGACCCGACTAGTGCGAGCGCCCTCGTGTGCGATATTTGCTCTAAAGGAGCGCTCCGCGAACCTGCCGTCCTCATTTTGGATGATATTGACGCAAATGTCAAGGCAAGTGTCGGGTGCAGCGTTCATCATCTTTAAGCAAAGTTCACGCATCCCGACTTCGTCTCCAACGGGGACAGCCCGGGTGACACTGCCGTCCGGCTCTTTTTCAGTGAGCTGAGTAACGCGGGACAACACGAGGTAAAGACTTCGGAGGTTCTGGAAGCGCGGCATGACCAGGGCCGGAGAGTCCTGTTCGGTGTACCAGCAATCATCCAGCTTCTGAGCTGCCTCGACAAGAGCCAGATACTGGAGCCTTGGAAACAACTGTGCGACACGGGCTAATGTGGCGATAACCTGGAGGTCTCGCGAGGAACCAAAGTGGATGTTCAACACCTGCAAGCTCGATGCGTAACGCGCAAGTGGTGTGATATCGCCAATCATGGTCTCGATACGTCGTAACCGTCGCTCAATTTGCACGTTCGGTGAGAGTGTTTTTACAGCAAAGAGGGAGGGGAGAACGGTCTTGGGATCTTGGCCGCCCGCCTCAGCCAACCGTCTCAAGAAATGGCGATCCAGATATATATCCTTGCTTCCTAGAATGAGAAACAACAGGGAAGGCTGCTGAAGCAGAACACTCCGTAACTCGTGAAACTGGGAGTGGGCCCCACACTCAAAGACGGTTAATCGAAATGGGCTTCGCATTGTGGACACGGCGCCGAGCAGCCAGTGGGGGCTACTAATAGCGCCGGGGACTTCATATGGTAGTTCGAGCCAGGTAATATTAACGCAGCGGGAAACAGCGAGGAAGATTTTGTCGGCCTCCTCGGTGTACACTTGGTGAGTTGTAGGCGCTAGCAGACGTAGGCGCCAGACACGCTCAGATAGATCTTGACGGCGTCGAATGACCAAACACCAGTATAGAATAACCCGGACAGAGCATCCAGCAAGATCGACCCGCTCGTATAGTTTCCGTTGGGAAGGTACTCGGAAAACACGAGAGACCTTGCATAGATTGAGCAGTAAAGCTCGCCGTCGGCTGTCGATGAGGTCGCATATTAGATGAAGAAGTTCGGGGGGGAGTCGCGGGTCTGGAATGGTGGGGGTCACCAGCGACATTAAGCAGGGCAAGTGTTTTTGTAGGGTTATTCAAGTCCGCAATCGATCCGGAAGAACTCGATGAGATGGTGGGTATAATCACGGATTGCTTGGAACCTGCAGCAGGATGAGCACACTAAGGAATGGAGAAAAATTTACGAGGACTTGAGTGGATGAAAGAGAAACGCAACCGCGCGTGACTCGGACGTGACAGCAGGAAAATGTTCCACAATGAGTTTGTCTTAGACTAAGACCATGCCTCAAATAGCTTTCGACCTCAGACATGGCTCCAAGCTGTCCTCCTTCCTTCCACCCACTACAACAACAGAGTCTTGGTCAAAGTGAAAGGATGCGATTTTGCCCAATCATCACAGCGACCCTTCTCCTGCTTGCTACTGACGCTTTCGCCGTGGTCCCAATTCGAAAGGTACATCTCCGTATGAGTAATACTGGTCTCCTATTGACTTAGCCAACGACAGAACCGCCAACCAGGGTGTCCCATTCCTAAGAATATCCAACCCATCCTTCGCCTGTTCCAGAATGACATCGAGCAATATGGTTATGGAGCCTCTAACTCCGGTATTCAAGCGGTCTTGACCAAGCAAGGCTTCGAATTCGACGGTGTCGTTGGTCGGGCATTCACCCGGCCAGAGGAAGGCACCGTCCCGCTCTTCCGTGTGTTTAACACACGCACGAAGGCAACCTTCTACAGCACCAATACGAAAGAACGAGATGCAGTGTTGGCGGGAGGCGGATATGGGAAAGATAAAGGGAAGCTGAAAGACCAAGGTGTCGTCGCATATGTCCTGCCCCGACCTGGGTGCAAAACAAGGCCATTATATCGACACTACAACCCGCTGACGGAGGGCTGGTTCTTGACCACGGATCCATTGGAGAGCGAAGATGCGGAGGTCGACAAGGGGTACGACGAGGCTGAAATCATTGGCTTGATGTATGGACAGTAGACGAAGAATTCAAAACGCATGTACTCGTTGACCAGGAAAAGTAGAATGAGAATCATTATCTTGCACATTGTTTCAATGAGTTTCAGCAAGATAGTGCTTGGGAGAAGTTCACCGGGGAGCTTGGTCCTTGGATCTTGTGCAGACCAATTTCCGCCATTCGCTTGCCGTATACGCGTGCTGTGTAACACCGAAGATGCGCCGGGGTGTTATGAAGTGCTTGTGCGACAATTTCGGGGCAGGAGACCGTGTTTTCACTGGTTTATAGCCAAATACCTTGAAGTGGTTGTGGAAGCTTGGTATGAGTCATGCCATCAATCCATCTTTGCCGGCGCCGTTGACCCCAACCTCTGGATGCCCTCGTCAACTTCGCAGACCCTGTTCGAGGGGGATTCCTTGTCTATCATGAGACCACTTCCGCCTTTCCGACATTCATTGCTTCAATTCGTCCCCGCCAATTTACAAACACAGGACAGCGACAAACGAAGCCAACTCTCTTGACTTGATTACCACCAACCCTTTTTCGCTGCTCAAATAATTCATAATTCAACATCGCCTTCCACAAAAGAGCTGGAATCCTGACCCTGTCAAACGGTGTTGCGGATAGTCCAAACCTAGACAAGACAATGAGCAAATGGAGAGACTCTTCCGCGCCTACGCAACTAGTGACCCCACGCATCGCTCACGAATGAAGTCATCTTTGCAGTCGATATGGTATAAAAGTTCAGCAAGTTCTCTGCCTCACATCCACCCAACAACTGCCCTCTCGAACAACAACACACTGCAGGAGTTTGGGAATAAACGGTGCCCCTTTCGATCCATTATACACCTAAAATCAGTGTACCAAAAAAAGAAAATTTTTTATACCTCTATTTGCACCCAAAAGAAATTGTTCCAAATTTGCCTGCTTATATGAGAAATAGATGCTATAAACAGACTCAGTTTTGTCCCCCGGTTTGGGGGCACATTAAACACCCTTTTCTAGACCAGCTTTTGCATCAAAATAGGGACCTAAAAATATGGTCCAGGGCCCTGATATATATCATATAAGTGAATATATGTGAATATTTTTGGTTCATGTTTTGATACAAAAACTGGTCTAGAAAAGGCTGTTTGATCTGCCCCAAAACCAGTTGACAAAACTGAGTCCATTTATAGTATCTATTTCTCATATAAGCAGGCATATTTGGAACAATTTCTTTTGGGTGCAAATAGAGGTATAAAAAAATTCTTTTTTTGGTGCATTGATTTTAGGTGTATAATGGATCGAAAGGGGCACTGTTTATTCCCAAACTCCCGCAGTGACAATGTCTGCCGCTGCGTCGGAAATTTTTTTTTTGCCTGAAAATGCCAAATTAGGCAATTTAAGGCTGGAAGGCAAATCCGGCTTAAAAGGCGGTTCATATTTCATAAGATCGTATCATTCTGCCAAATTGACGTGATCTTGCCAAGATGCGGCAATCCTGCCAAATTAGGCCAACTTTATATGGCATTTTATACTTTGACGTCCACTTACAATATAACCCAATCTTTGCAAGAGAGTGTATTCTTATAAGGCATTTTAAAACTGAGCATTATTAAAAGGCTATATAAGGTGTCCTGTAGTCATCCAAGGGGGCAAAAAAAAGTCAAAAGGAAAGGGCTCCTTTTTGTAGTCATTTGTTACAGTAGTGATTACTACTAGCCATTATTTGTTATACTGAACTGAAACCATGTAAGGAAGTAATGAAGGAGGAAATTAAGGACTTATAATGTGTTTACAGGAGGATTTGAACCGAGGGTACTACAATACAGGAAAGGTAAAAGACAATCTAGACTACATATTGATTTATAAAAGAGAAGAGCAGAGCATTACATCACTTTCCGGGGGTGTACTGATGGGTGGTAAGCAACAGTCAATGCTCTGATACCAGTGGCTGCATACCGAAAAGCTCACACATAAGCTTCACTGCCAGTTAGATTCATAAGTTGTTGAGTGGGGGTTAAGTATTTAAGGCTACAGGGCTGAGATCGATGTAAAGCGAGCAAAGTACTTTTGGTGTCTAGGTTAGGCGTCATGCAATATAGAACCACATCGGGTATTTACTCCTTCTCATCCTTCTTGTCGTCGTCCTTCTTCTCCTCAGCGGGCGCTTCCGATGACGCCACATGTTCAGCGTTCTTCTTCTCGTAGACATTTTGGAAGAGTCCGAGTGAGGCAACCTGGGTTTCGTCCATCTTGGTCTTGATGGCCTCGGGCGTGATAGAGCCGTCGCGAGCCTGAGCTTGGAGCGCAAGAGCACAGAGCTCGCCAATGAGTTTGATAATAATACCTTCTCCTTCTCAGCGGCATCAAGTTGGTCCTTGAACTCGTTGACCGACTTCTCGGTGTCAGCGCAGAAGGAATCGGCCTTGTTGAACATTTCGATGAGGTTGCGGCGTTCCTTGTCCGACTCGGCGTATTGCTCAGCGTCAGAAACCATTCCTTGCTTAGACCCGAAGAAGAGTCAATGGTCATAGACTGGTCCTTTTCAGTAGCCTTGTCCTTGGCAGAGACGTTGACAATACCATCTAGTAACACGTTGATTAATTTAGATGGCGAAAAAAAAGAGAGATAGACCCACCAGCATCGATGTCGAAGGTGATTTCGATTTGGGGAACACCTTTGGGAGCAGGAGGAATGCCAACCAGGTTGAAGTTACCGAGGCGCTTGTTGTCTGCAACGAGTTCACGCTCGCCCTGGTAGATCTTGACCTCGATAGCAGTTTGACCGTCAGCGGCAGTCGAGAAGACCTGCGACTTTTTGGTAGGGATGGTCGTGTTGAGAGTGATGAGCTTGGTCATGATACCACCGAGAGTTTCGATACCTGTGATCACCCCGTCAGTCTGACTCCAAAAGACAGAAATGGAGTAACTTACCGAGGGAAAGAGGCGTAACATCCAAAAGCAGAACATCCGTGATGTTGCCGGCCAAAACACCACCTTGAACACTAGCGCCAATAGCGACAGCCTCGTCAGGGTTGACACCCTTGCTATGCGACCGAAAACGCTCTTGACAGTCTCCGTGACACGGGGCATACGGGTTATACCACCGACAAGGATAACCTCGTGGACATCGCTGGGCTTGACGTCAGCATCGGACAGGGCCTTCTTGCAGGGAGTGACAGTGCGTTGGATGAGGGAAGAAGTAAGGGCCTCAAATTGCGAACGGAGCAGTTTCGTGTTGATATGCTTGGGACCAGTTGCGTCGGCGGTGATAAACGGCAAGTTTATTTCCGTCTGGGCGGTTGACGAAAGCTCAATTTTGGCCTTCTCTGCCGCTTCACGGATACGCTGGATGACCATCTGATCGCCATTGAGATCGATACGGTGCTCGGATTAAATTCCTTGAGGATGCGGTCAACGAGGAGAATATCGAAGTCTTCACCACCATTGACAAGATGGGTGCCACCGTTGGTGGACTTGATTTTGTAGACGCCGTCATGCATTTCGAGGATGGAGATATCGAAAGTTCCACCACCAAGATTGTAAACAGCGATGATTTTGGCTTTACTGTCTTTGTCCAGTCCGTAAGCGAGAGCCGCCGCCGTGGGTTCGTTAATGACACGAAGGACATTCAGTCCATCCAGCAATTTGTCCAGCATCCTTAGTAGTAGCTTGCCGTTGAGCGTCGTTGAGATAGGCCGTGAAGCTGGCTGAGGCTGGCTTGCGGGGAGTAGGTTGTGAAGTTGGAGCAGTTAGACCAAAAGAAAATGCAGATGGTTTGGCTGCAGCTGGCTCTGGCGCCTTTGCTGGCGCAGTTGGTCCAAACGAGAAAGGTGAAGCAGGTGTAGCAGCAGGGCTCACAGCAGATGCGCTCGTTATAGCCGGGGCTGGAGTTGAGGCCGTTGCGGATGCAGCAGGTTCAGCAAAAGGATTCGTGCTTGCTGGAGGAAACAAGCTCGTTGCTGTAGCTTGTGGCGGTTTGTCCACTATGCAGACCGCTGACTTTTGAGTTCGAAGGAAGTTGGCTTGCTGAAGAGCATAAGAGAGGATTGAGTAACTAAATATGATGACTGACTTACGGCTGGCCATGGCACCGCGAAGGGACTCTGAATCAACAGTTGACCCCACTTCAATTTCGCCAAGTTCAGTCCTCCGTTCTGCCCTCCCCCCCGCAGTTCCATTTGTGCTTTCCTCCCTTCCAACCAAAGAACCCCAGACTGCCGTTTCATTTCGCAACGTCTGAATCCTCGTCGGCGTCGTCGTGTGGTGGTGGTGGTTTGTTAAGAAGCATTGACATTGACATGATTTGATCCGAATCGAAATTGATCACATGCCTGCTTGTAGACGCGTTCGTCGCGAACGCCGCACGCGCTGTGCCCGTAAAATCTAAACACAAGTAGAAAAGGGCTTGCACAGATTCAATTCATGTTACTAGTAAGTCCGTCTTACATGTCAAATGATGTTAGCAGCAACAATATCAAGTACCATTGACAACTTCCTTCAGCCACTAATCAGAACCGCCTTCGACAACCACTCGGCGTCGAGGAACAGGTCGAGGCCGTGGTGGGGGTGCCAGTGGGATGCTCTCTTCCTCGACTTCGACGACCGGGACTTCGCGTTCCTTGCCTTTTCTACCCGCCCCCGCGCCCACGACCCTTGCCACGAACACCTCTTTTGCCTCCTCGAGCTCTAGCTCCACCTCCTCGAGCTCTTTTCGCCTGTGCGACAGCAAGAGTTTCTATTTCTCCTCCGTCGTCGCTCTCGGGAGGCTCAGTCAAGGCGCTCATGGTGGAAGCGATCGAGAGTGCTCCGCGCGGCATGGCTGCGGGGATTAAAATGGCTGCGGCGTTGGAGGACGATTGACGTGGTACTCGTTGACTGGTATTCTCTGCTAACTCTATGACGGATTAGCAGAATCACTTAGACTGCTGAACACGAAAACTTACCCGGATCCTGGCTCGTGCCCGCAAATTCCGGACTGTCATCCACCCACAACCCAATGGAAGCGTTGAAGTATTCTCCAGGCGTGACAGGTGGTAGCATTGGCCGTATATCGTCTTCATCTAGAGTGACATCTTGCATCATAGCATTGAAGTTTTCGTCCTTGTCCGAGTCGTCTGGATGGAGAGTCGGGGAGATAAGAAGACTCGACACCGCCGATACGCCTGCGAATGTGATATCCTTCCAGAAAGGCAGGATTCGATTCTGCATTCGAGGAGTTTCCCAGTTCATCCGCAAGTTTCGAACAACCTTGTCGAATATAGCACCCAGATTTAACTTGCTGAGACGCCCAATTTCTTCGAAATTTTCGCTTTTGCCTGTGGTTTCTGTGTAAAGGATATGAATCATCTATATTCGGGTGAGTTTGGATTCCAAAACGGGTTAATAAGGCTGACCGTGATGACAGTCAAGCCCATTGCGCCAACGGTTGGATCCTTCACACACCTGTGGGTGTAACCATTTGCCTTCTGGTCCTGCAGGGGCAAGGCCACCCAAATGCATTTTCACCTGCACCAGCAGGCTCCTGCAGCTGCAGGAACATTTGCCTTCTGCTCCCCTGCTAAATTATAAGGGTCATTGATAAGGCAGCAAATGGACAATCCGATCAAATAGTGATTGTGCTATAATGAATGATTATATAATGAAAATAATACTAGGTATAATATTCAAATCACCATTTCTTCAGGCCGAAGACCCGTAATATAATCAATAAGGGCTGTGTACTAGGTTTTACAAGAATACATCCTAATTGGGACAAAAATGATGTAACTCTATATAGTCATCAAAAGTACTGATGGCAATTAAAAATGTTTCCACATTGATCTTATTTAATAGATGCCATCACTCCCATCACTCAAATCACTTAAATAAGCTAAGTAAAATTAAAAAGATTTAAAGATTATATAATCTGAATTCTGGAAATGCCATTTGTCAAATGTTCCTGCAATGCTGCTTTCCTGCTTTGCAGGCAGATTTGCATAATGTCCCTCCTGCAGCTGCAGGGGACATTTGTAAAATAGTTACCGCTATGGCTCCTTCACACCCCATTTAGCTCCCAAAGCCTTGCCCGAAGGAGCACTGCGACCATCGCCTTTCAAGCTCGCTCGAGAGAAGAGTATATATCGAAGCACCTGTAAACGAAAAATCGATCAAAAGCCTGTGGCGCAATTATAGCGGGTGACTTACGAATGGACCCAATGAGTTGAGGTAGCGGTCCTTCTCCTGTTTTCCGAGGTTTCGATGTAAAAATGGTGGGAAGGCGGTTTGGGGCGGTTGAGATGTATCCTCGCCAGCATGGTATAGAAGTTTTTTGTAGTCGACGGACTGGAGACCAGCGAGCTCGACAAGTCGAGGGAGATTCTGTCGCAAGCCGTTGATGATGTTCGATCGTTCGGCGCTTTGATGATGGAGGAACTTGAACAATGTTAAGAATGAAAAATCTCGTGTCATTCTGAATAAACCTACCTCCTTCGCAAATCCAGGGAACAGCGCAGCATTAACCAGCTTGTGGAGTTGTTCGGGGACCGCCATATAGAGTTCTTCCGTTCGGTATGCTGAGAGTAGAGCAGGATTTCCGTATACATCTTTGACGTTCGCGGCCCCTTGGATTGATGGGGGATTAGTTGGACGAGCGGTAAAATTCGGTTGTCGAAGGAAGGGGTAAAAGAGGATAGTGTGCTTTTTGCCGAGTTCCATCGCCAACGCCTTGTAATCGAGGATATTTTCATTGTCTAAATCGTCTGTTTCCTGCCCAGTAGAGATTGATCCTCCATTGGTAGTCGACGCTGGAGCCGTCTGTGTAGGTCCAGATCTAGTAGAGGATGCCTGAAGGGCCGCCAGCTGCTGCTGGAGAGCATCGATAGTCTAGAAAATTTGACAATTTGAGATATGTCAATGTGGCATGGAACCAGAGACTTACCTTTCGGTAGTCATCCTCTTTCGCACCCGACCTTGGCTGAGTGAATTGATAATCCAGTCGGGGATGAGAGGCCATGCTCGAGGGATCAGTCGTCGTTACAGTGGAAGCACAAAGAGAGATTAAATGTGTTGTTGATGCAATCAAACCGACCCTGGACCTACACAATGTTCTAATTATATCTAATAGGTCGAATCCTTCTCCGAACTCCTTGAGGCCAATTTGAAAGGAAGACAGAAAACCTGTGAACAACCTAAGTTATCATTTTTACAAGTCTCCGGGCCCAAGTATACTCTATATCTCGCAGCGTCAGTGTGTCTTGCGCCTCTGAATCTGCCAATTTATTGCCAGTAACCAATCAAAAACCCTCCCCAGTTCAGTGCAGATGGAGGTCAACGACTGCACGACAACCGGAAGGATAGTGACGTTTCTGCGAGTGCGTCGGACGTGAAGCTGGAGAGGCGACAAGGATGCGACAGTTGTCAAGTACCGATGAGTCCATTGACACAAGGTTGACGTTGAGTTGGCGATTGAGAAGCTTTGAATCAACGTTAGCAAATGTTATACAAAGAGACAGAAAATATACCTGCATTGCTCGAACGATCTTACCGCTTAGTAACTACATGATTAGGCAGCGCTCGTGAGGAGTTGCGGACACCATGCTCCGTCTGGGTGATACCTGGCGCTAAGCCTGACAAGTCTTCATCTGGGGTAGCATCCTCTTCGACCGCTTTCATGGCCTCCGCCCCTCCGGCATCTGCGTCAAGTTCCCATCCACTTTCTTGAACACTGACCAGATCAACTTGAATATCGTCTGGAGTTTCCCTCGCCCACGCGTCTAGCTCGGATGAAGCACCAGCAGTAGCACCGAGAACAGCTCGCTCAGCACGAACAGTCTTGTCTTCACCGAAGGAAACGATAAGCTGGTTGGGGTGGAAAAGGGCCGTCGCAACGTTATTGAAATGGTCGCGGTAGGAATCGACCTCCCATGCTTTGGTCTCGCTCATCCGCCAGCTTTTAATGGTGCGATCTTCGGCAGCAGAAACGATGAGAGGGAGAGTGGGATGGAACGTGGCATAGTTGACACCACGGTCATGACCTTCGAGTATATATTTGACAGTCAAGAAGGTATCGAGGAGCTCGAAGTTTCCGGAGCCTGTGCTGGTATTCGAAAAGCCTGAGATGTCCCACACGCGAACAGTCTGGTCAACGGCGCAGCCGCCAACCAGCGATCCACGATCGCAAGTAAAAACAAGCCGAAACACGCTCCGAACAGCGCTGCCCTGGCTTTGGGAGCCTATTTTTCGAAGTAAACGGTGTCGCCAAGGGAAAAGTGCAGCATGGTCCCGTTCTGAATCGCCATAGGCAGAAATGACCAGATCGTCTTTCGGAGCAGGCGTAACATAGTGAGAGTGACTGGTGAGTATTGTGGTGTGGCTTCGGGATGTGCTGCTCCATATGTGGATTGTATGGTCGTCAGAGGCAGATATCTAGAAGGCCAGTTAGATTGAGGAAACGTCGCCTTTTATGAAAAGGCAAACATACGATCCGTGAGCTTTCGTGGTGATATTGGACAGTCCATACAAAGTCAGGGTCGGAGCAGAGAGCAATTTTGTAGTCTTCGGCACTAGCAGCCAGCAGGTTGCATCTAGAATCGAGCTCTGAGTTAAATTGAGAAATGAGACGAAAAAGCTGGAGTGAGATTGACTAAAAACACACCGTGGTTCGCTCGGGGATGGCTAGCGAGCATCCTCAGTCGACAGTCATGGGATAGCCCCGGAGTGGTATGGTTTTGCTGGTCCGTAGATGGTCGACACGGTCAAAGAAGAGACGATGATTGACACACGTGATTTGAATCATCCACCGATTCCAACTCAACTACTCCGATGTTGACAGCGAAGGACTGCCCAGTAGATCCCGCCAACCACCTTTGTCGAATCTGCCAGCTCTGTCAACAGTCCGTGAGGTTCCAGGGTCTGGGCAGCCACCTGAAAGGGTGCAACAAGCGAGTTGAAGAACAACGGAAAACGGCTGCCTTTCTACGAGCTCTCCGAGCGGAACGTATGTCTCCATGGGCAAAGTTCAAATACCATGAAGATTGAATAGCTCTTTGGCTTCTCCAGCACAAGTCAGCGCTCCCAGAGGTCAGTTTCAAGCTTTTTCAAATCTAAATTGTTCGCTCATATGATTCAGAAATTCCAAGTCTGAATCCCCAAGCCGATCCTCATGGAACGGAACAATATCCTCCGGACGACTCAGGTACAGATAATAATTCGACTCTCACAGTCTCACTTACTCTCTAGAACTTGCGCAAGTTGCGGACGAACCTCTACCTATTATCAACGATGGCGATACTCTGCCCAACGATGGCAATACTCTACCCGAAGCACCACAGCCCGAAAAAGACGATATCAAACACGAATTTCATCCACACAGCGGCTTGCCGACCCAATACATCGCTCTCAATACATACATCCAGCTGGAGGCATTGGGGGCAACAAAGCCGACCACCACCAGTCTCTGAACCGTGGTTACCATTCGATACACGACTGAATTACGAGTTTGCCAACTTCGCGAACACAAACATGCTTGACAAGAAGGCAGTCAATGCTTTGATATCGCTCATCAATCGTGTTGCTGCGAGCCCAGCCCAATTCACGGTCAAGAACTACGACGACCTGAATAAGAGATGGGAGCAGGCATCTCAACTCTGTACAAGTGTGAGTTGGTCGTGTTGGCGATGCTGCTGTCGCTCACAACTTCCCTTAGTTCAAGGAGTATACAGTCGAAGTGGAATACAAAGGGCAACCAAGAACATTTGAGATGCACGCTCGTCCTTTGTGGGACTGGAGCCTCGACTTGGTGCAAGATCCTCAGTTGGCTCCATACTTCTTCTGGGATGCAGAGCGACGATTTCGATTCGACGGGACATCATGGGTTCCGTTTTACACCGAGCCATGGACTGGATCAGCCTTTTGGGATGCACAGGTAAAGCTTACGCCTATCGTTCTCTACTTCATTTACGAAATGTGACAGTCTGCTTTAGACTTCAACCCCGACTACAAAATACTACCGTTCATCCTTTACGCCGACAAGGCCAAGCTTTCCACCTTCGGTACCCAGAAAGGATACCCGATCATCGCGCGACTTGCAAATGTTACTGTTGGTATCCGCAATGGCACTGGCTGGGGAGGAGGACAAATCGTAGGATGGCTTCCGATTGTAGGTCGTGTTCTCTGTTTTCTTCCGAACTGATAGCTTAATCATCAACCAGGTCGATGAAGATGCAAACGAGTCGGGGAAACCAGGTTTCACAAATTTCAAGAATGCGGTATGGCACGAGGCGTTCTATAAACTACTCGAGGACATGGCGAAGCACTCCAACATTGGAGTCTGGGTTCGATGTGGGGACGGCAAGATGCGCAAACTATTTCCTATGATCCTGATACTTGCGGCTGACTACGAGGAAGCGTAAGTCGTGCCTATATTGTCTATATTAGCATCAATGCTCATTTACCACTCTTAGTGCTGTTATGGCTTTGATTCGGGGTGTTCGAGCCCTGTATCCTTGCCCTATCTGTTTGGTCAAGGCAGAAGACCTCTCTCGGCTTGATTTAGCGGCTCCATTGCGATCAACAGAAGACTCTGAAGCGGTCTATCATAAGGCTGCTTCTTGCAAGACTGTCGAGCAGCGGGAGGACGAATTGAAAGCTGTCGGTCTTCGTAATGTTGAGGTAGTGTCTGCTATCCTTTCCGTTCTGTCCTCTCTTGAGCTCAATTGCAGAATGTTTTCTGGAAAGTTGGACTGTCCGACCCTTATCACGCACTCTCTTTCGACCGGCTTCATTCACATCATAGTGGTCTGTGGGGCGACCATCTCTTTGGCCAACTCAAACAACATCTGATACTCCTGGGGCCCAGGAAGACTGCTGTTCTTGACCAACAGTACGGACTATAATAACAATGACTGTTGATTTCTCACCCAAGCCTGTAGATTTGACGCACTTCCTCGATGGCGAAACCTCAATCACTTCAGTGCTGTGTCAAATATATCTTTCAACGACGGAAACAAACACCGGGACATTTCGAAGGGTATTATCTTTGCGGTGCACAACATTCTCACCGATAACCTGGGTTTGCTCCTTCTTCGATGCATCCGGAGTTACCTTGTCGTTGATACGTACCTTGACTTTGGTGTTCAGACTGCCAACACGGTAGAGGAGGGTAGGAAAGAGCTCCAGCGGTTTGGCCAGTTAATCAATGTCGGTTTTTTTTTCTCTCTCTGCGACTAATGTTCCTTATGCACTACCAGGAATATTCTGACAAGTGCAAAAATATCGAGAAGCTGGCGAAGAATTGGAACTTCCCGAAAAATCATCTTCAAAAACATGCATTTGACGACATTCTGCGAAAAGGTGCTACGAAGAATTTCGGAACCAAGATCGATGAATCGATGCATGGTCCCGTTCGCGACGCATATCATAACTTGACGAATGGCAAGGATGTAGCGCCACAGGTATGGTTTTGCTTTAAATTGCCGTTATACTGATATATTCAACGAGATTCTTCGTTTTGTCCACCGGAGCACTGTTGCAACGTATATCCGCGAACAAATTGAAGACCTAGATGCATTGAATGCACCTCCGAAGAAGGACAACGCCAATGAGGACTCGGAGCCAGACGATTCTGAGTTGATTGGAAACAGTGTTCTGGGTGGAAAGCGGGTGAAGATCTCGTTCTCAATGGTGGAGGAGGAGCACAAAACTGACGTTGGTTTCTCACAATTTCGGACCAAGTTCACCTCGTTCTTGAATAACTTTCTCCGGGCATTTGGCCACGCAGCTATGGACGAACAACCTCTCAGTTTCTTCCCAGCGGACCAGGTCAGTAATTTTCTTCCAAATCATGCCAACACATATTAATCAGGTTTATCGTGTTAGATTTCCCCCTATGGCTTCGTTAAAGTCCATTTCAAGTCTTTGGATGACTGGATGGACACAACGGACTATCTGAGATGCTCCCCAAACTTCCACGGTTGGCCTCGCTATGACGCTGTCTTCGTTCAAACGACAACTGGTGTAGTGATCATGCGGTTGGTTTATGTTTTTGCTTTTGAAGCGAAACAAAAGACTTTCCCATTCGCATTGGTTCAACCGCTCGATGCAAAGGTTGTCAATCCACCGGCGAAGGACAAACTTCTTGGACTCCACCGCATTCGGGCAAAACCTCGCCGATCGACCGAGTTCATTTCGGTGCATTCAATCATCCGTGGTGCTTTACTCGCACCTGCTTTCGATCGAGGAAAGGAGAAAAATATTGAAGAGTATATGATCATGGATGTGACGGACCCAGACATGTTTTTAAGAGCTAAAGAGGTGTAATTTGTAGGTTGTACGGTCAATCCAGAACGAGCATTCTGTGCTGTGACACAAATGTCACAAAATGCCATCAATTTCGTGATTGTCATGAAATTAGCACTCGAAAGGAACTCGTTGACCAACAAAAGCACATAGTGGGATAAGATTAAGCTATAATATGTATGGATGAGTAAATAAGGACTTATAAGATAAGGGGAGTATCTTGTAAGGCAATATAAGTCGAATTTAAGGCTCTTGCCTTATAAGGCACCAACTTTTTTTCCGACGCAGCCGACAACACCGGAAAAGACCCCGTCCGCGTCGCTGCTGGACTCAAGGGAACACTTGCGCGCGGTGATGTCTCTGACGAGGCGAAGAACAACGCGCAAGAGCGTCTGAAAGACATGGGCTACGAGGAGTACATTGGTGTGTATTTTGTTGTTTGTCTTCCACTACTTGCTTATCCTGTTTGTAGCCCACCCCGAGAGCTCGTCTGACGTCCGCGAGAAGACCGAGGAGGAGAAACACGAGAACCATGTGCAGGGCGGTTACAAGGCGACCTTGAAGAGTACGTCGTTCGAGTGTGTCGCTCCTTCTTCTACTGACCCTGGCGACAGACCCTAATGTGTCGGAGGAGGCCAAGGAGAATGCCCGCCAGCATCTTGGGTCGAGCGAAGACAAAGAAGTTTAGTTGATTTCAATCCAAATGTACCATTATTGTGTATCTAAAGCAAATCTTTTATTGTACTGTAAGCCCTCGGTCGTAAGGTTAGGGTTAGCCAAACAAGCCAACAAAAAGAAAGGGCCCGCCTAGCCGAGTGGCCGTGGCAGGACTGGAAAATATTGAGACGGTGCATGAACCTAAGCCCATACAAACCGCGGGTGCTCTCTGAATGGACAGGGTCGCCGTGCGATGGAGAGTTCCCGTGGCCCACAGCTCCAGGTAGCTGAAGGGAACTGTGCCATCAAGGTAAGTATGAAGAGTAGCGTTGGCGGAGACGCGTACAAGTAGGCGACCAGCCGCGCACGGACCCTACATATCACGTGAAATTTTGACATTACTGGAGCGCTGCAAAATTCAATAGTAGTACAGAATGATACAGTTTCAAGTTGTTGCTAGTCTCAGTGTTTAGTTCAATTCGCTCTCCTCCAGATGCTGACGGGCATTCTCCTTGGCCTCCTCCGACACTTTAGGATCTGACGCGAATCAATGCGTGCATAAATAGCAGGTTTACTCTACGCACTCGACAACGCGGCTTTGTAGCCAGCTTGGACGCGGGTTTGATGCAATTCCTCGTCATGTTGGTATGCTACAAGGTCGGAGGCACGTCAGAGTTGCGCTATTGTCGAACAGACAAATGCTCACCAGCGACATCTTCAGTATATCCCATTTCCATCAGTCGCTCCTGCGCGTTCACCTTTGCCTCGTCAGAGACGTTGTCGCGAGCGAGGGTGCTCTTCAAGCCAGCAGCAACTCGGGCGGGGTTCTTCGAAGTATTGTCGGTACCAGTCATGATGCAAGAAAGAAGAGTGCTGAGTGAAGTGGGTGGTTGTTTGTTCGAGGGTTGATGCTGACGATGGCTACTGCAACGCTTTTATACCCAGCACAGAGCCAGAGTAATGACTTCATCGATGAGCTAGTGTTGTGTCATTGGAGCCTCCGAGTTCTTTCAAAGTTCAAGTTCTTTGACTGCCGTTCCCCGCTTAAAGACGTGTTTATGTATTTGTGGAGCCAGAAAAGCGGATTACGGTTGTCTACGAGCTTAAAGAGGAGGCCTATGATTCCTGCTAGCATGCGTGGAGTGGTTTGGAGAGACGGCGGGGAAGGGGATCTCCAAAATATGAGGGCGTTGATGTTTGTGGGCGCCACTTGTCCGCAGGATAGACGAGATGACGTCAGCTTCTAGACAGAGGTCTTAGTTGATGGAGCGAAACGACAAGGCTAGACTCCACTTCGGCGTCGTGTTGGAACTTCCAATGAAGGAGGAGTCGTTGAATCTTTGTCCGATTGCTTACACGTTTCTCTATTGCAATTCCTGGTCCTGAGAAGGCGAGGCGGATGGATACTCGTGATGTTCATTTTGAGGAGCACCAATCACTTGGATACAAATGCGGGGTCATTGGGGGAAGGAGTTGGGAAGGAGGCAGAGTCTGTTGATCGCACGTGATCCCGGCCTTTCATCCTGAACCGCGATTGCTTTGTGCCATGCCCTTCGATGGGCTAGAATCTCGTCAATCACCCCTACAACAGCTGAATCTATGCGCGACACCGTTTACTACAATCCAACTTGACTCTCGATTTACTGTCCGCCAGCCTCAGTGACTTTGCAGCCGCAGTCTTTGCTCAAAGCAGTCTTTGCTCAATGCTCTACTAGTAAGCTCTTCCCGAGCGGCGCGTCTAGTAACGTCCTTATCCACCATATGTAGCATACCTTTAACAAAAGGAAAGCAATCGCCTTATGACCCAGCTGCGAGTACTTAATCTGTCGGATGGCACAGTCTGCCTTATCCTCACCCACACACACTGCCAGTGGACAAGCAGCATGTTCTGGCCATTCAGACTCCGTTATGCCCGGCCGAGCGACCCACCGTGGTACCTAAACTCCTTCAGCCCGACTGCCATGATTCCCGGTCTTCTCACCTGTTGCGACATGGATCAGGACCTGGATATATGGCTCCGCATGCTCCAGATCGTCGAACTCCCCGGCCACCTAGAGAACCTGGACCGATGTTTTGTCACAAGAATCGACCAAGTCGCAATGAACAGCCTGGGCACGGAAGAGAACAAAGGGGTTCACGAAGCCATCGCGCTGGAGTTCCATTACCGAGGCCCCACCCTTGCGAGCCACGAAATGCCTCGGATAGATGATTCCAGGGCGGTGTTGATTCACCTATTCCCAAAGCCTGTGGATCCAGAAGCAGAGTATGTTGTCATATAACCAATCGCTTCAAATAACGCTGTTGTAGGACAAGGCGATATTATTCCAACGGAAAGTTGAGGGACGAAGACCATGTTTCAATCCGCGACAGCTACGCCAAACTGCGGAAATTCATTTCTATGCGCCACCTCTCCTGCCCACTCACAGCATTTGGCTGGGATCACATCACAGTGCTCGATTGTGCTATTCTCAGCGTTGCTATTCAGGAATACCGATCCGCCTATCTCGATTCCAGCCACATGTGTGCTTGGTCTGCAACAATGTTCTTCCTCGCCATCGAGCGAATATCCCAGAAACGAAGCGTCGGCCTTGGTTTCGCGCGGGGAGAAGCAGTCGAAGCAGTCGGCAAGCAGGGTCTATTTAACAAACTTCGGCGGCTCCGAATCGACACTAACGGTGCGCGACTGCTCAGGAAGCGATAGCTTGAGCGTTGAGAAGATGCGTGATAGCATTCGTCGGACAATGCAAGATGCTGAGGAGCCTAAACTTGAAGAACACATCGATGATCACCGCATTAGTCTACTCGAAAGCGGCCTCGGCAACCCATGGCAGAAGGACGCTCCTATCATCAACACCATAGTGGAGAGTTTCGAAATCTGGAGAGACAAAGTTCGGGCACAAATTCGCAAGAACCTCAAGATTCAGAGGCACAAGGCGATACCGGAGTTAGCAGAGGCAGAGCGCAAGCTAGCAGCGCTACAGGAGGCACGACAAGAGGCGGAGCGCAAACTTGCCGAGGACCAAGAGCACTGGCAACGACAAGAGGAAAGACGAGAAGCACAGCGCGAACTTGCAGAGGAACGGCGGGCACGACAAGAGGCAGAACGCAGGCTAGCAGAGGAACGACAAGGAAACCAGGCTATCTTGTGCAAGATAGCTGAGCTGAAAAGCCAACACATGGAACTGGAAGAGCAAGTTGAACATTTCGCGCGCGCCGTCTCCCTACATTCATCCCCTCCCACTACCGCGTTGTCTCCCCCAGTCTTTTCTTCACTCACAGATCAGTTTAAGCTTCTTTAATCCTCTACTGTAGGATGTCTCCCACATTATGCTTTCCTTTACCTCCTTGTCCTGTGTAGTGTCCCTAATCAGAATTTGAGTTGGCTGTGTTTGTTCAAGGTGAACAAGATCCACCGAAGCTTCGTTGTCCCTTAGTACACCAACGATAATTTACGAGTACTCCTTCTGAACAAACTTGGCAATCGTTTGCAGCTGGATGTTCGATGTCCCCTCATATATCGCGCCCTGTCCCAATCTAAGCCGACGGAAAACCGAGTAAAGCAACCACTCACAATTTTCGAGTCCCGCCAATACTTCTCAATCCCCGTTTCCCGCGTGAAGCCGACCCCGCCCGCCCACTCAATCGCCTGTCCGCTCACCCGTTGCGCAACAACACTGCTCCAGTACTTGGCCATCGCCGCCTCCTTGGTGAAGCTCTTGCCCTCCTCCTTGCGCCGCGCCGCGTTATATGTCAGCAAACGCGCGCTTTCCAGCTCTACAGCAGCCTGAGCAATCTGGAATGCCATGCCCTGGAAAGTGCCAATGGCCTGTCCGAACTGTTTCCGCTCGTAGGTATATGGAACCGCCTTGTCGAAGGCGCCCTGAGCAAGGCCGAGCATCTGGGCAGCAATACCGATACGCCCTTCGTTGAGAATTTCGATGGCAATCTGACAAAAATATGAGGCCAAGACAGACGTGAAAGGTTGACCCACTTTGTACCCCTTGCCTTCGCCACCAATAACGTTCTCAGCGGGTATTTTGAGGTCGTCAAAGTTGAGTGTGCAAGTGGAAGACGCGCGGATGCCGAGTTTCTGCTCCTTCTTGGCGATTTGGATGCCCATGTCCTTGGTTGCGACGAAACAGGTGATCCCCTTGTATCCTTTACTCGGGTCAATCTGAGTTTGGTGAGCTATGCGGCGGGAGATTGAAGCAAGCTCACATTGGCAAATATGAGGAATATTTCAGCCTCGTAAGAATTCGTTATCCACATTTTGGAGCCGTTTATTATCCACGAGTCGCCGTCTTTCTTGGCACGTGTCTGGAGAGCAAACGCGTCTGACCCGGAGGCTGGTTCAGAGAGGCAGAACGAGCCGAGCTGCAATAACCGAGTTAGATGCATGACCAAAGACCCCAAGGTAACGCGCTACCTTGGATTCAGCGAGCTGCGGTAGCCATTTGTCTTGCTGCTCTTTTGTCGCGTATTTCCTGAATATCGTGTTGACCAGCGTGTTGTGGACGTCGCAGAGGACAGAGACAGAAGGGTCCACTTTGGCAAGCTCTTCGATAGCGATAATGGCAGAAGTGAACGAAGACTCTGCCCCGCTATGTTCCGCACTCGTTTCGATGCCCATTAACTATGACTTGTCAAGCGCGGGTTATAGAGAGATGAATAGCTAGCTCACGCCTTGGTCGAAGAGTCCCTGGATGATAGCGGGGTCCATCATCTCGTTCTCATCCATCTCCCGGACCTTTGGCTGGACAACTTCAGTCGCAAAGCGTTTGACTGAAATTCATTCAGTTTGTTTGTTATGGGCAGAGTTGGCGGTATAGCTGACCAGTTTCCCGGAGCATAACTTCCTCCTCCGTAAACGTGTCGAGTGAAGGGATGCTGGAACATACCCGCCTCGAAGAAGTGAATGTCCTGGGATGTTATTAGGCATTGTAAAGGAGCCAATCTCGGCAGCAGACCTCGCGGGTGCGATGGATTTTGGACGAGCGAGTCGAACAACGCGTGCAGCAGACCCGAGCATGGCCGTGGTTGGAGAGGAAGAGGAGATCGGAACCCGGAGCTCATTCACGTGCTTGTCGGAATTTCTGACCTTATCTACGTCGTTGACAATTTCTCCTTCCCAACGCAACCGTGGTCTGCATTCAAGGTCGGCGTAATGACCAAAGGGGGGAGCGCATTGAAGTACGATTATTGCTATGCGAGAACAACTCGGTTTGGCTACTGATGAGAAACTCATTACCTCAGTAATACCTCAAGCCTTCCCTTTTTTCCAGTCTGGCTTGAAGCTCGGACCTCGTCTCCCCGGCCACCGGTCGCTCCCCCTTTCAGACTCACAAGCGTTGCCTTTGACCCGTGAACACAAATCCTTGCGTTCTCGATGCTTGAGCAAATGTGTTTCCCAACCAAAACAGGTCAAACAACGGGAAATCCAGTGAACGTGGCGCATCGTATCATTATTGCTGGACGCGAAGGCAGAGGAAAGCCCGGGATTGGTAACAATGACCTTTGAATCGCCACGAGTCCTCCAAAAGTTGTGAATACTAGCGTATCAACCACCCAGCGGGAGAAAAGCAAGCAATGAATTAGAGTGTGAGGACATTGATAGTGTCTACGGTCCAGTCTAAGCTGAACGCGACAATTGTCAGAAACAACAACGCCGCAACACCATGAGAACGCACTATATCCACTCTTACTTGAGCTTCGAGAAGACTTTTGGTGCAGCACAGGCTTCGGAACAATGCATGAGACTGGGCAGAGGACATAAGAGCAGGCAGTGGTATCAAGAAATCGGCGTACTGGACTGTCGTCAGATGAGAAGGGTAATCACTGTCAGCAGGGCATTGAAGAAACAGAATTGCGCGACATACACCTAGACGAGGGTCAGGAATTAGGTAGACAAGCAATTAGCCGCAAACGTACATTTCTTCAACACAGTCCTCGCCCTTGTGGCCCTTGCCCTCCATGACTTTCTCCTGGCACTTCTCAAAGTGGTGCTTCATGGGCGCGCATGAGGCGCTATTCATGCATTCCTCGCGGATGGCTGGGTGGGCCTGTCCCGGTTGTTAGCTAGAGGTAAATAGGTTGACACGAAACACGCACATCTTCAGGCTCCTCTGGCTCAGGCTCTTCAGCGGCAGCCTCGTCTGTGGGAGCGTCCTCCGCGGGCTTCTCCTCAGCCTCGCTGTGTACAGTAGGGAAGAAAGATGAGATGAAGTCGCCAATCGACATTTTTGAGGGAGTTGAGGTATGTGACACGAGTGTGACACCAAATTGACCCGAAGCATCAAAAAGGACGACTTTTATGGAGAAATGACCTTTGTGTCCAATTTGTGTCACTATTTTGCGCAAATGTGGGTTTTTCGAGCCCCATTTTGGGACACATCAAGACACATCTTGCTCACATCCTGTCAACATGGGCTTCCTCCACCACAAGCATCCAGTTCCGAGTCACTCCTTGCAAAATCGAGCACACCAATCTTAACTAAGGAAGCACTAAATGCTGTGGGATACAGTCTTTGCTCATTCGGCCAGAACGTCACAATATCCCACTTTCACACTCCAGTCCCTCTTCTGTCCGCCCTCCGTGATCTTGAGGAAAAGCAATGCCTCTGCCACTGGAGTTTTTTTGTCGTCCCCCGCACTAATCCGCCAGCTGGACAGCATGGCCGGATCGATTCCTCTTCCACCAGCAACCACTAGTGTCTCTCCCCGTTCAGTACCCACCGCCGCCTCAAAATTGCCCGCGCGGAGACGATAGAGAGGCTTGCCGCTGTTGTAGCCCTCTTGGTCATCATCATCATAGTCATAATACCCCCCCCCTCACCCGCGTTGACATCGTCTTCGTCATCGCTTATGGGGTCCGGTGGTGCTGGGGCGAGATGTTTTGCGTTTTCGAGCCTGAACTGGCCCACATGTGGATATTTCAAGACGGAGGTGGCTGCCACGTGGAACACAGCAGAAGCTCGCCGGAGATTTTCGAGGTCAAGAGGAGGCAACTCTTCTGCGAGACGCTGTAGCACGTCCAGTGGGATTTTATTGAGGAAATGGCCCTCGTCCAGCGCAGGTCCAATGACCGGCAGCTTCGAAATGACTTCAAAGTGGACCAAACGCGCGATGGCTGCAATTCCAGGGGTTGACGGGGATTTCGTGTAGAGATGTGGGAGGAAGGGCAATGCTGAGGTCGCCCTTACTGCACCAGTCTGCAAAACTTGGACGATAACGCAGTGGAAAAACGAAAAGAGGACGCCATAGACAGCCTCTTTGTTGACAGCCCCCGAGGTTTTTTGATAGTCGGAAATGGCGACAATGAACTCAACAGTGTGTTTCTTGCGGTTTTTTTCGTCGTCAAGATGTGTTGCGAATTTCATGCAAACTCTGGGAGCGAGCGGAATCAACTCCGGTCGGGTTGCGGGGCCTAGGACGACTTTCCCGGTGCGTTTTCCCTCGAGCCCAAACAACATTCGGCTGAACCCCACACGCAGAATCTGTTCGCCCCATAGCTTCATGTATGGTGAGATGTCGGCTGGGTCTGACACCATTTCGAGCCGCGTAAAGTGGTATCCAAACTGGAGAGGCTGCATGTTACCACCGACCATATACTCGTAGAGAGTGATGCGCGCGAATTCGTAGTCTGGAATCGCAAGTGGGATCCCAAGCAGCTCGTTAATGGTCAAGCCGTCGACAACGTTGTAGCTCGAAATAGCCTCGTCGGGGATCACGGGTGCCACTGCTTTCCAGTGATATATGTTTCGTTGAGGTGTGGTGCGGGCATAACCACGGTGACCATACGAGTTGAAGCTAATGGATTTGCAGAAGACGCGCAGGGAGGCTGGCCGGGGTCTCAGTGTAAACAATGGCTGGTTGTCGACTGCATTGTGTCAAAAGAAGGCCTCGAGGCGACGGCAACAACGACTCACCAAGAAAAACTTGGTGGTCCAAGTCGATCTCATAAATCCACTCATTGAAGAGATCATTCTTCGGTGGAGACTTGTCCATATAAAACCGAAGAGGGTCGTCCCGCTCTTGCTCTGACTCAGGTCTATCGAGGAGAGCTTGAAACTTGGCGCGGCGTGCGGCCAGCCATGCGATGTATTCCTCCTCTGGGCACGAACCGTCCGGTATCTGGGCGAGGTGGTATACACCAACCACTGATATGATTTGTCAGTTCCGAGCAGATCGTCGAGTAGCCAGCCACACCACTTACCGCTGGGGTAGCTGTCGTTGTTGCTGTAGTAGATAAAATACCATCCTTTGTACCGATAGATGCTGTTCAACACATCAGATGACTATTTTCATGAGTTCGAAGATCAACCAACGTGTATCCGCGGGTCCCCATACTAGTAGTAGAAGGTGGAAAGAGGGGGGAAAGAGGCAACAGGAGGTGAAACAAATGTGACCACTCAGACTATTGTAGGTGATTTATGGAGTAGTTTTTGGCGAAAAGTCTGAACAATGAGCTATTGGGACTGAATTGTGGATCAAAAACGCGTGTTTGAAAGGACCAATCACCATCACGTGGCCGTGCTTTTCTGTCAACAACCACGATTTCTGGAGTCTTTTAATCTCGAAGGTGCAATAAGCCCCTGTCATGCAATGCACAGTCGTCGTCCAAGCTTTTGTGGATCCACGCCCGCCAAGGTTAGTCAAACTCTTCCGCGATTTTTCTGTGTCTTAGGGACAGGTAGCTCCAGGAACTTCCGTCACTGCACCAACTCCCTAACCAACTCCTAAAGAGCAAATAAAAGCAGATGGCGCCCCAAGCACTTTCTCCAACTGCACGATGCTAAGAGCCGCGCTTTTGCTCACTGTCGTCTCCCTATTGGCTGGCATAACGCTGGGTTTCGATGAACTCCAGCTTGCGGAGCGGGCCCCCAGCTCAACAACGCTCTCAAATGGTACCTCAGGTGTCATCCTGTACGGTAAAGTGGGCGACATGACCTGGGGGGCATCAGGTGTGTTATAAACATATTCGCTTCTTTTTTTCCTAATGCATAACTCTCAGGCATCCTCACCGCGACCTGCCCACCCGGCGCCCCAATTTTCGCCAGCTGCTACAGCATGTACCTGACCTCCAACGCCTCCGCCATGCTCGACTCCAAGAACCCCGACTCCCCGCGCCAGCGCAACGAATGGCGCTTCCCCACACTCAGTGTCGGGTCCTCGTTTTCGTACTCGTGGAAGCAATATCTGGCCCCAACAGGGACCTCGACCAAGTTCTTCCACCTCATGCAGGTGTTCGGTGTGCCAGAAGGCAACCCGGTCGTCGCTCTAGACGTCCTCAATAAAGGGCTGAAGATTGTCGACAATGCGTGTGGGTCAACGTGCCCGACAACGACAGTGGCGAGCTATGTTGGCATTTATACGACCCATTACATCTCGTATGTGCTCCTTGTTTCTCTCCCACTCCAGGCTCATCATCTGCAGCGGAAGGACAGGCCCGTCCGGAACATTAAACTACACTGTTGTCGGACCTACGGGTGCTAAAATCATCTCTTACTCCCGAACGGGCAGTTTATGCACTGGTGACGCTTAGTAAGTCATCTCCTCGAAAGCGACTTCTCCTCATTTCCTCTCAGCATCAAGTTTGGCACCTACAGAGCATCATTTGACGGAATGACTGCAGTCAAGTCTGTCTTTCCTCACTCCAACTTGCCAAAACTAATAACCTCAACAGCTCGACGGTCGGCGAGTGGAGGACATACTAAAGTACTAACCATCCATCCCAATAAGTAACTATACATAGAAAGCGATTATTATTATACGACCCCCTCCACACTCTCTGCCCAAACTAGATCAAGATTCAGCTGTCTCTCATACCTCCTCCTCCCTTCATGCAACACAAAGCTCGTCCCCGCCAACGTCAGTATGATGCCCAGGTCACCCGAGTCGAGCGCTGCAGTCTGGAATATGGCCTGCATAAAAGGCACATAGACCAACGCGAGCTGGGTCACCGCCGATATTGACACCGTCGTGACGAGCATTTTGTTCTGCAGCAGCCCACAAGCAATACCTCGGTTCTGAATCGCCGAAACGAGGTCGAGGAAAACGAAGCACGTGAAAGTCTACTCCAGTCTTCAGCACATTATCGAAATGGAGAAAGAAACTGACCATAGTCTGCTCTCGTCTTGACATTTTGTCGTCCTGCAGCGCATAGATATATACGAACAAAACTCCAATGACAATGATGGACGCGGAAAACAGCACACGGTATAACAACCGTCTGGTAATGATAGGCGCATCCTTTTTCCGTGGAGGCCGCCGCATTACTGCAGGATCAACAGGGTCTACACCCAGACTCTGGCTGGGTGGGCCGTCCATGAGGATGTTGATGAACAAAATTTGCATCGCATTCAAAGGATTGTTCAATCCAAGGAATGTACTGAGTGTGATGAGCGACAACGCAGCGGCAGCGGTACTGAGTTGAAACGACAAAAAGTTTTGGATGTTGTGGAAGATCGATTTGCCTGAGACGGGTCGGCCCTAATGAGTAGAACAGAGAGATGCCACATACCTTCCTCCACCGCAGGAAGGATCGTGCTGAAGTTATCATCAACGAGAATAACATCTGCGGCCTCTTTGGCCACATCCGTCCCGCTTTTGCCCATTGAGACACCAATATCAGCCATTTTCAGCGCCGGAGCATCATTGACTATTCGATAAATGTTAGATTCACCCCCGAAACTAAAAGCTGGAAACTGACCTCCATCACCTGTCATAGCCACAACTGCCCCTCTTGACTGGAAAGCCTCCACGATCGCCATCTTATGTCTCGGCGTCGTCCTCGCAAACACGCTAACAGTCCCCACCCGCTCCTTCAGTTGCGCCTTATTCATCTGGTCAATCATCTTGCCCGTCAAACAGAAAGTGCCCGGCGCTGCGCTATGTCCACCAACTTTCAGCCCCAACTCGCGCGCAATCGACAAAGCCGTCTCTTCCGCATCACCAGTGATCATAACAACCTGGACCCCACCTGCCTGCAGCAAGCCAATAGCATCCGCGACTCCTTTACGAGGTGGGTCGAGCATTGCCTGGAAGCCTGCAAAGACGAGGTTCCATCCATCTCGAGAGTTTTCCGGGTTGGGACTTTGACTACGGCTCCCCGCAGGCGTTGAAGTTCCGGTTGTTGCACCAGCCGAGCCAATACCAAAGGCCATAGCAACGACGCGTAACCCGCGACTAGCAACGGCCTGTGCTTTTCCAAGAATAACTCCTCTGGTGCTTGCGTCAAGAGCCGGCGTGCTCTCGTCGTTGACATAATAGAACTTGCAGCGCTCGAGCACCGACTCGATCGAGCCCTTCATGTAGTACATTTCTCGTCCATTCACACCCAGCGTCATTGAATCGGTGTGAATTCCACTGACAGCCATAAACTTTTGTTCTGAATTGAAGGGTCGTTCCGAGAGTCGTTTGAAAGTCTGAAATTCCATTATGAGCGCAGCTAGGCGAGAAAGATAAGAGATGCGCACCGTTCTGCGATCAGCAAGTCCAAGATTATATGACACGTTTATGAAGGCCACATCGGTTGATTGGCCAACAACGATCCCTTCTTCGTTTCTTGCAGCATTGTTGCACAAAACACCGATATCAAAGGTCTTTAAGAGCGCGGGTGATAGACTTGGTGGTGGTGGATCGAGTTGCACAAGCTCATCGACCGTGTATGCTTCCATGACTGTTTGCTCGTTCTTGGTGAGGGTCCCTGTTTTGTCCGAGCAAATCACCGAAACACTACCAAGCGATTCGACTGAGTGAAGTTTCTTTACGATGGCTTTACGTTTAGCCATCCGCAAGACACCAAGCGCGAGTGTTACAGTCGTAACGATGGGTAGTCCTTCTGGAATAGCAGCAACAGCAAGCGAGACGCCAATGGTGAACATGTCGAGCCATGACCGATGTGAGATGACGCCAATGAGACAGATAACACCGATGATTCCAAAAGAAAGAATCGAAAGGTTTTTTGCGAGTTCGTCCATGCTGAGCTGGAGCGGAGTCCGTTTCTCCTCGACATCTTGCATCATTGAGAAGATGACCCCAAACTCCGTGTCTGTCCCAGTGGCGATAACGATTCCGCTCCCTCGTCCACTTCTGACCAGGGTTCCCATGTATGCGATGCATGACCGCTCCGCCAAAGACACCGGATCCCGGTGTGGTCCTTCGTACGAGCAAGTTTCTACACCTTTCCGTCTGGCTTCCGTTTCACCCGTTAGACTACTTTCGTCGATTTCCAAGTCGAAGGCAGTGGCGATTCGAATATCGGCGGGTATGCGGTCTCCCGTTGAGAACGTTACGACATCTCCTGGCACAAGTTCGTTGGCCAGAATATGAATTGTTTGGTTTTCGCGTAAGACATGACAGTGGTGGGGAACGAGCTTGTTGAGGGCCTCTAAACTCTTCTCCGAACGTTGCTCTTGGACAAAACCGACTAGACGGGATGAGATCCGTAATGTGTGATTAGTTACCACGTACCTGTTAAGACGATGAGAACGGCTACAGCAATGCTAACCGCATCGTCAACATTGCCCATCAGTGCGCTGACCGTTGCACTTGCGCAAAGAAGTAGAATGAGTGGGGATTCGTATATGGTTTTGGCGAATTTGACGAGCACATGCTCTGGGGTCGAGACAGAGAATTCGTTGTACCCATGAGTTGCAAGTAGATTGGGGATGTCGGAGCGTAAGAGACCAGAGTCTAGAGAGGTCCTGAAGTGTGCAATTGCTTCCTATAACAATCTCACAAATTAGCTGGCTAAAAAAGCGCATGCAAACGTACGTCAACAGAAGAATGCGCAAAGCGAGCCGACATGGTGTCTTTTGGTTCGATCTTTGGGTGCGGCGAGTTTCTTCCCTCCTCTATATCCATTTCCGCTGGTCGTCCAGTAACGACGTTCACCGCTCTAGTCCACAAATTAGATGCTTCCGTGTTAACTGCGGAGGCGAAGTTGGTGGGGGAGAGGGGAAGATCAGCATTATGTCGTCTAAGTGTTGTGCTGTAGGCGAAGTGTGGTTCGGCGTCTGGCGTTGGTCTAAGGCGCGAGCCAGCACCATCTGACGAAAGTTGGGGGAAGTACGTGGAAGCTGGTGGCGATGCGGAACGCGTTTGGTCGTGCATAGCAAACGCGTTGCGGGTGAAGGAAGATGTAGAAGAGCTGGGAACAGGGCCCGTGGTCTGGCGCTTGCGCTCGTATCCCATGCCAGATGAAGAACGAGACAGCGGAGGCATGGCGTGACAATTGGTGACACAGTCTATTCTTGACCATGAAGTTACAGAATAAACAAAATACAACTTAGTGCTACAATCTGCTGCTTTACTGGATCTTGACGTGGTTTGTCGCATCCTTCTCCGCCTCCTCGCCAAACATTTCAATGTCCCACTTCGGAACATAGCGGTAGGGAATGTTATATCGGACTGGTTTGTCCTTGCCCAATGCGTTGATTTTCTCATAGTCTTCGGCTCCAAGCTCGACTTGTTTGAAGTTATCGATAATGCGACTTGACTGGACACTCTTGGGAATGATGGTGTAGCCACGATAGGCACCCCAAGCCAGGAGGACCTGTGCCGGCGACGCACCCAACTTCTCGGCGACTTCGATAACGACAGGGTTCTCTGTAAGCATCTTTGCACCAATCGCTAAAAACAAATCGGTGAACAAAGAGCAGACGAAAGTCCAGGAGAACTCACAGTTGTTGCCGAGAGAGCTATATCCAGTAATATGGATATTCTTCTCCTTGCAATACGCAACGAGATCGTCTTGGGGCAGAAGGGGGTGGGCCTCAATTTGGTTCACGATGGGCACAACACCAGTGGCCTTGATAATACCCTCGAGATGTTCGATCGTGAAGTTACTGACGCCGACATTCTTCACTTTGCTTTTCGGCAACGCAAGCATGGCCTTCCATGTGTCAACCAAAGAAGTCTCAAGGTCGAGATGGACTTCGCCAGACTTGGTGGGATGGGGAGGGAATAATCCATTTCCAGGCGCGAAAGACACAGGCCAGTGAATCACTGTTGCCTCTTCAGATAGGTGATGTAGAGCAGGAAACATACGCACAATAAAGATCCAAGTAGTCAATTCCAAGTTGCTTCAGGGTTTCGTCGAGCTCTTTCTCCACCTCTGCAGGCTGATGCGAAGAGTTCCAGCATTTGCTCGTGATCCAGAGCTCCTCGCGCGTCACCACACTGGGAATGACCTTTTTCAGCGCAACACCAACTTCATCCTGATTCTCGTAGATCATCGCTAAGTCAAGATGACGGTAGCCATTGCGAACAGCGACCTCTACCTACATCGATGAGAGAGATCAGTTTTTGGAGGATGAGCCGGCACACAAACCACCCACCGCATTTTCAACTTCCTTGGGCTTGGACTGCCACGTCCCGAGACCCAACTGCGGGACAACGGCACCGCTGGAAAGAGTAACAGTTTTTCCGAGGGACATAGTGAGGGTAGAAAGCCACGTCGAGCTTCGATTGCGTTTCTTATAACCTCGGCGGCAAAGCCGCACCGGCCGGCTCGTCGGTCCGGGGGCCTATGATCCGAAATTTTCGACGAAAAATTGAATTGGAAGAAGTCGTTCCAAGCATTCAGATAATCCGCCCACTCTATATAATTTTCTCCTGTGAAACATCTTTACCGGACCACTTCAATTTCTTGTTTGAGCTCAACGACAAGTCAATGTGCACTCAACAGGGAAAGAGGTAACTGAGTATCCCTTATTCAGTTCCAGCTTCATTGGAGTTATATAATCACATACCCACTGGAGTGTAGTAAGTACTAGTAGTCTACTTATATGTATATTTACTGAGCAGTGCGAAAGCCAGAGCAACTTGGAGGGTAAAGAAAATTATCAGAACTCGGGAGGCTTACGGTACTAAGATTGCCCTATGTTAGATGTAGTGAGTATCTGCGCGAGACATTAGACTTATTGGGCAAGGTCCTTGTGGCAACGGTCGGCCTCTGTAGCATGTAAATTCACCTCCTCTTTCTGTTGGAACAACAAAAGTTCTAACTGTTTAACTCTGTGCTCAGCCTCTTCTACCTAGTCGTCTGCTTGCTCCCATGCCTGCTATTGCTCTACTATAAGTGGCTGGATAATTCCCCTGTCTCTTGCATCTTTGATGGCCTTACAACCAGCTAAGTAGATGCCATGAAAGCAACCTAGTTTGTGGGAGACATCCCTCTCTGGGACAGGCTTCAGGCTGCTGTTTATGTTATGGCAGCAGGAGATACTTATGCTTGATAACAAGGAAAAGCATTGTCATAAACCATATGCACATGTGGTCCAAATATGCAAGTTTCTCCAAATATTCACAAATAACTAGGGAGAGAGACACCAGAACTGCAGATAAACATTGCAGCTTTGCTTCACTACCTAATGATCCTAGTTATTGGTGAATATTTGGAGAAATTGGCATATTTGGACCATATGTGCATATGGTTTTTGACAATGTTTTCCCTTGCCATCGAGCATATCTCCTGCTGCCATAACATAAGCAGCAGCCTCAAGCCTGTCCCAGAGAGGGATGTCTCCCATAAACTAGGTCACTTTCATGGCATCTAGCTGGTTGCAAGGCCATCAACAAAGATGCAAGAGACAAGAGAATTATCCAGCTCTTGTAGCAGAGCAACAGCGGGCACGGGAGCAAGCAGACCACCATGCAGAAGAGGCTGAGCACAGAGTTGCGCAGTTAGAGCTTTTGTTGTTCCAACAGAAAGAGGAAGTGAATCCTCCGTTGCTTCAAGTCTGAGTCCTCGATGATCAGTAGGCGATGGAGACTTGCTGAGGAACTGTGGGAGAGAAAGACAAGAAGAAGACTCACCATTACATTCGGCCAGATAATGACCTGCGGCGCGACCAAATGGGGGGACAAAGGTGCAGCAAGGTTGTACTGCATCCTTGTGTCTGAATCTGCCCACCTCATCTGGAAGCTACAGTGTGAGTGGGTAATCCAAGAGAGGGATGAAGCCACTGACGAGGAGATACTGAACAGGTGGAGGAAAGCTCTCCAAAACCACATCGACATCGACTGTGCGTTGACCAACACGAGGAGGTATGGGAAACGTGCCATTAAGGCATCACTAGTTGGCAGAACGTGGTCCAAGTTATTGGAGGAGGAGGATGTCCTCCCAGACGACTGGATGTCGAAGGGAGGCGGGGTTTTAGTGGGTAGCAGCAGGAGGGAACGATGACGGCGGTAAGACGGCTGTGGAAGGTTGCTTGATCACAGTTGATCACCCGTGATCAACCAACCTTACGCGCTACTACCACAAACGTGCCACAAAAAAAAAAAAAAAAAAATGATCAGTAGGCGAGTTTAAGGCGACGGTGAAGCAAAGCTGCGCATTTATATGCAGTTCTGGCGTCCCTGGGATCGGGGAGATTGGGGTCATGAATCATGATAGAAGAATTCTATGGCAATGGCCTCATGACCCGACTCCCAGCGAGGCACCTCTTCCAGTTGGGAAACCTGGTCGATTGTGAGTCACTCGTCACAAAACATCATGTTGAAGGCCAAAAATCTGTTTGAGTGGGTCGAGTCCCGGTCGACCCAACTTTTAGTCGAACAGTCAACTAGGTCATCAATGTCAGGGGAACCCCCCGCTTCGGCCTCCTTCGGACCCTCCGAACGCATCCGAGGCGCATCCGACCGGCGCCCCCTCGGACGCTCCGACCCACCCCGACCATCGTCCACGGCCTCCTTCGCCCGCACAATCACCGATCCGTCAAGACCCTCCCAACGATCACCTTGGGACAGAGCCTGCGACGCCGCTCAGGCCTTCTGCGCTCTATGTCGGCAGTTACGGACGACCAGTATATAGTTGGCGCCCTAGCAGGCGGACCCTTAGAGTTTCTTCTCTTTGGATCCTCCCCTGCTAGGTCGGTCCCTCCGTGTATTTCCCGTAGTCTTATTCACGCTTTGGATCCTCCCCTGCTAGGCTTTCGTCGGAGTCTCCAGGGTTGCCCTTACAGCAGAAGAAACTCTCTACAGGATTAACCGGTCAAGATTGCCAGGTTTGGTGCTGACTCAGGCTCGGAGTACGAGTCCGCACCCCCCCTCGTCACCGCCCCTGCCACTTGACCCCTCCTCCTCTGCTCTTGTCGTCTTTACGCCCGCTATGTCTACCGGAGCTGCTCCCGGACGCTGACGCGCGCATGGACGCACTTGAGGCAAAACTAGACAACCTCACCAATATCCTCACCCACCTTGCTTCCCAGGCTTCCGCTGCCGCACCACCTCCGGCAGCTCCCGAACCGCCTTCGGCATCTCCGAATGCCCCCGACGCGGATGTGTTATTTGGTGACATTACTGTCGCCTCAAAACTGGTCTTACGACCAAACCCCCCGTTTGCATTTAACGGAGATCGCAAACGCGGCCGCGCCTTCCTATACGCGGTCAAAACCTACGCTCGGCTTGCCCCGGAGGCCTTCGTAGTTAACGGAGAGCCGAGCGAAGAAAAGGCCGTCCGCTACGCCATGTCCTATATGGCGGAGGGACCTGCTCAGCAATGGGCAGAGCGTCATGGGAGCAAAAACCCCTTCCCCTTCCCTCGGTGGAGCCAGTTCCTCTCCGAGTTTCGCCTTCGGTTCGTCGAGGAGAACGAACAGGACCCTCGCTCGCTAAGTTGGAAAGCGCGGGTTATCACATGGGAATGCGGGATGTCTACGGATATACCGACAACTTCGAGGACTTGATGGACCTCGCTGGCTTCGAAGACGCGTTGGTTAAGGTAACCAAGTACCGCCACGGACTTGACCCCTTGATCAACAACGGCATCACCTCTTCGAACGACCCCCCAGACCTCCGTGACTATCTGGGCTGGCGCACTCGGGCTTTCCGACAATATGAAGCCCTGGTGTGAGCGAAGCTCATTAAGGGAACGGCTACCCCGCGGACCGCTTCGGGAGCTCCGCGCGGCGCCTTCCCCATCACTCGTTCAGCAACTCCGTTCCCCATCCGCCCGGTGGCCCCGCCTGTGCCACCCGCGGCCCGCGCCCCCATCCCGGTACCTCCGGCTCCCGTCCCTATGGAGCTAGATCGTACTAGGGCTCGGGGTGCCCCTCGTCGAGCCTGCTTCAGATGCGGCGACCCCAACCATTTGGCTCGGGACTGTCCGCTCCCCGCCCGCGTCCGCCATGTGGACATCCTCGACGAGGTAATCCAGCAACTTGGCGATGAGATGCTGGGAGAGCTGCTTGCGCGGTTGTCCGATACTGCGGCCTTAGCGGAGGCGCATTCGGAGGCTCCGGCAGAGGATTTTGTCCCCCCGACGAGTGACTGGTGTGCCCTCGTTCGCGTCCATAAATCGTTTCACTTGTTTGTATGATGAATCAACTCCCTTGCCCTACAACGAGCCCGAAACGAAAGACGCACCCTCTGCCCCCTCCGAAGCCCCGTTCGGATTCGCCGACTTGCCTGGGAGAAAAAGCTACCTGGCAGTTATACCA